ACGACCTTTCCCCATTTGTCTGTGTGTGCAGGCTCTGCAAGGCTTTGAGCCACGGCGTGAATCGATATTTGCAACAAGTTTTCTGCGGCCTACGCAGCAGCAGCAGCAGCAGCAGCAGCAGCAGCAGCAGCTCGGTAAAGGACATATCTATATATAGGTACACTGGCAGAAAAAGCACAGATATTAATGTATCTTATATCTGTATCTTTATGTAATATAGACACAAATGCATCCATAATAGCTTCGAGGCATTGAAATATCAACCTCAAGTCAGCAACTTTTTCTTCGAGTTTTTTTCGCTCAGTGCATCGACACATGCATGCATAGCTCTGTGCATATTTATAGACTGAGCTCAGTGTTTTGCAGCTGTGGGCGTGGCTGCTGGCGGTGCTGGTGCTGGTGCTGGTGCTGGTGCTCGGGGCTTGTTATATAACCACTTCATTGGTATGCTAAACAGCAACTTGCCCTATTGCCGTTCGTACTCCGACTTCCACTTCCACTTTTACTCTCCATTCCCTCTCCCACTCCCACTCCTACTCCCACTCGATCTGCTCCAAATGCAACAAGCACTTGCTCTAAAGTCTCTCCTTTTAGCCCCTGGCCGTGGCGTCCTCATGGCCCTTTGAAGTGGTTGTTATTAATGGTGCTGCAAAGCAAAAAGGTCACCAGAGCCGAGAAGTGCCATCGTTGGGGGGTGTCGGGGCGGGACAAAGTGGATGGCAGCAGCGCTGTGACAACATCAACATCAACATCAACATCAACAGCAGCTACAGTCGTTGCCGTTGCCGTAGCCACAGCCGCAGCCGCAGCCGCAGCCCCAGAACCAGAACCAGAGCCAGATCTGAATGGCAAACAAGAGTCGAACAGGCGCTTTGTTTGTCATCATCTGCCGGCTGCTCTTGAAGGATGACACCCATTCTCTCAGCCCACTACCCTCTGCTGCTGCCCCTGTCCCTGATCCTGCCTCGGCTCCTGCTGCACTCGCCCCTTCGCCACCACACTCGGCCACAAGCTGTACCCGCATTGCTGCTCATGAAATGCCATCAACTGGAAACTCAATTCAAGCCAAGCTGCCCGCCAACTGAGCTCAAGGCTAACGTAAAATACGCTACGAGCCCCATTTAATGACTCTGGAATACTCTATCAACAGCTGGAAAAGGTCAGCTGATGAAAAAAGGCTAAAAAGAGCTGTTTGGCTAAAAGCACATCAGAATCCAAATATAACTAACTAATAAAAAGGCTAGAGGATTTTTAAGGAAATATTTTAAAGGATTTAGGAACGACTTCAACAATAACCCTTCGAGGATAAAGGAAAAAGCCAGATATAGAACCCTCAAATGAGGGTCAAATAATAAACAGTTACATAACCGATTAACGGAAGGCTCAAGGATGAAAGGAAAATTCATTTAAGTTAAGAAAATCCCTAAGAAAAATCCTTAAAAATCCAAAGGCCTTTAAGGAACAAGTAAAACTTCTAAGGAGGTCGACAGAAAAACTGAGCAAAGCTGCAAAAAAAAAAAAAAAAAAAAGTCACCAAAGAACTAAAAAATACCGAGAAAAGCAGCAAGGGAATACCTATCAATGAATTATCATGAAAACTAGACAACAGAAAAGTTGTCAAAGGCCTCAAAAAAAGAATCCTTAAAGCCGTAAAAAGAAAAACTAGAAAAAATGGAAGAGAAAAGCCAATGCAACTCAAAAGGAAAGCCCAGCTGCTAAACCCTAACGGACAGCCAAAGCTAACAAACTAATATACCGAGATCCTGCGCTGTGCGGAGCGTGCATTAAATATACAAATTTATTTTCAATGGCCTGATTATTGTTGAGTACTTAAGTAGCTAACTATTTATTCTCCGCTAGATAAAACTTGTCGCTTTTTCTCTGTTCTTTGCTGTTGTTGTTGAAGATTAAGTTGCAGGCTAATTGCGGAACGAATGAGACGGAGAGAGGGAGAGATGGAGAGCAAGAACGAATGGGTTAGCTAAGGCGCTCATTGGGACCCTTATGCATCGTCCTTGAGGAAGCTTAGTTCTACATAAGCTAGAATAATACTTGTTTAAATGATAAGCTCATTAGCGAAGCCGCGACACAAGTTGAACAAGCAATTAAAAGCGAGAAATTCCTGGTTGTTGATTTTCTGTGTTGGAAAGTATAGGAACGTATGTTATTTTCTACATCACAACTAGTGGAACTTCTCATTCCTTTAAATGTTCAAGTGCATAAAGTTTTTCTTAAAATTTTGATACTGCCTATTTCCTGTCTTATATTGTCTTAAATTGGAAAGTTTCGCAAAGTTTCTTTTTAGGTTTGATTCAAGTTCGTAGACCTCTTCTCATTCATGAGAATTTTCTTTCAATTTTGACCTCGACTCGAGTAACTCTAAAGAAAATATGCAAATACAACTAGAAATCTCTCTATCCAAAATCCATCAATCTCCAGTCAAAGCAAACCTGCCAAATCAAACCGATATACCCGGTACCAATATACCCAGCTTGAATATATTTTCATTAAAAAATTTTTTTTTATTATTATTATTTCTGATTTGCTGTTCGAATATGCTATTCTATTTTCGATTTGTGACTGGCCAGTGGGGCGTATGAGTAATGCGCGTATGAGTGATATTTAGAGAATAGCATCGAACACACAGATACGTATATAGACACACACACACACACTCAAGCATACAGAGACATTTTGAACTCTTTTGTTACTTGTTGAGCAACTGTTAACAGTTTGCCAGAGTTTCCCCTAGAGCTGTTTCCTACACTGATCAAAATCAGCTGTCACTTATTGTTCAACAAACAACAACAGAAAAAGTAAGTAAACCAAGAGTAGGTCATGGAATAATATAGAAGGTGTACACAAAAGCGCAGATATGTGGATATGAATCAATATGTGCATATGGAACATATATATATACATATAAACATATATGTATGTATATACATATAAAACGGATCTGATAGATTGCCTGGCATGCTATATTCTGCATTGCACATGCTTCTTATGACCGCATCTATGAAAATCTTTAACTAACTTTAACTTCGTAAATGATTGACTGATTGAATGACTGGCTGACCAATTGACGAAGTGTATGATTGACTGATTCAATCACTGACTGATTGACGAGTCGTATTGACTGATTGAGCGATCCAGCTGATTGATTGCTGTTTGGACTAGTTGCATTTATCTACGTCTTAAATGCTTCACTGATTGAATAACTAATCTAATTGAAGATTGATGCACACAACAGTTATGCAGCTTAAATCCAAATTAGTAGCTTAAGCTTCAATTTCAAAAGAATTTAATTTTAGTTTGGCAAATGTTGCTGAAAACAATCTCATGGAAAACTTTATCTATAATTGTGGCAAATCGTTGTAAAACTTTCCATGCAAATTGTGCAAATTTTTGGCAATGACTTACAGAGATATATGTATATATGTATATGTACCTATACGTATATAATATTTCATTTAATTAATTTTGTAACTTGCTGAGCAACTATCCAAACTTTTCCGCTTTCCGCTCAGTAGTTTTTCACATATTCTGATACACTGCAGCAAATCGTTGGGCAGTTGGTCAGCTGTAGCGCTGCTCCTGCTCTTGCTGCTCCTGCTGCTCCTGCTGATTCTTCTACTTCATGTTGTTCTCTCTCATTGTTGTTGCTAGTAATAGCTTTCTAGAGTGGGCCATTAAAAAAGGGAAGTGTAAGAGCCAGCGACCTAGTGGCTGGCCAAAGTGGACATATGTACACGAGTATATACATATGTAGTATACAATATATAAATATAGTATATATTGTATATGGTGTATACAGCAGGGGCTATATAAATATATACGCTCTGTGCGTTTGGGGGACTGTAAAAACTGGGTAACTGGGCAACTCGGTTGAGCGCAGCCATAAAGATAACACCCAGCGGAGCCAAAATGCTGAAACTCCCATACAAGCACTCAACCGAACCCCCCACGTTAACCGCCCACTCGCTGTTGCTCCGCATGCCCTAACCCCGAACCGCTTGCTCCCACAGGGTGTTTTTTTTTTTTTTTGTATGTTCCTTTCTTTTTTTTGTTTTTGCGCTTCGGCTTTAGCGCTCGTCGTCGACGTCGTACTTGCCACGTACTGGCTTTTGTGTATGTGTGTGTGGGTGTTTGTGTGTGAGCAGCGAGACTTCGCAGTCAAAATGGATTTGCATAAGTCTACACACACACATGCATACACATGTAAGCCCAAGCTTGCGTGTGTGTGCGTGGGCGTTTATTATAATGCCCATTTAACAGCAAATTCGCCTAGGCAAATGCTTCATTTGTCTACGCCATTTTTCGCCGCGTGACAAGTGTCACTTGTCAGCGCAATTCGCTGTGCATTTCAATTTGTTGTTTTTTTTTTCAAGTTTTTTCTTTGCTTACCTTTTGCAACACCAGCAGCAAGTCCGATGGCTTCATTGTGTGTGAATGGCACTTTTTTTGTGTGTTCGCGAATGTTTTTGTTTAACTGTTAGTCAACAGCTTTAATCAGCTCTGCTGCTGCGCTGCCTCTTCTACTACTTCGGCTCTTGCTCGCTGTTGCGCTATGCTGCTTGTTGTTTTTGTGCACAATTGGTATTTGCTGCTCCTTTTTGCGCCCACGCAGTGCTAGGCCTAACAGCCCTGAATGTATGTGTGTGTCTGTGTGTGTACGTGTTTTTTATGCTTGCGTGTGCTGTCTGTGTGTCTGACTGTCTGCTTTGTTTGTATGGGTGCGTGCGTGTCAACGGCGGCGCAGACGGGCGCTTATTGTTGTTTTTGTTGTTGTTATTGCTGTTATTGTTGTTATTGTTGCTGCTGTTGCTTTTATCGCTTTATATTTTACATTGATTTTTGTCTGCAACGTCATTCTATATTCAACAGTTTTAAAGCTATTTGTTTCTGTTGCTGTTCGCTGCCATTCACATCTGCAAATTTTAATTTAAATTTCAATTTCCTGCACACACACAAGTTAGCGCACAAAATTCACTTTCACTTTCACGCACGGCGAAAAAGGCAGCAACAGCGAAGCTAGCAACGACGCCGACGTCGACGTCGGCGCTGACGCTGACGCTGACGCAGCTGCCCTACTGCCCAAATTCGGACTCCGCTTCACTTTTGTCACTTTCTCAACCTTTGCCGTTGTTGTATGTGCGTGCGGGCGYGTGTGTGTGTGTGTGCGTGTGTCGATATTTGTATATGTGTATTAGTGTTGTTGCGCGCATTTGATTCACGTGGCTCACACACACACAGACATGCACACACACATCCACACTCAGCAGGAATGCAAATGCAGTAATTGCACACGCACACACATACACACATACATGAGCGCACTGTTGCGAATAATTGATAAATAGCATTTACGAAAAAATACCACACACTCACATATACACAATTACACAAAAAGGAAAAAAAAAAACAAAACCAGTTACAAGTATCAAAAAAAAGCAAACAAAAATTCCACTTGCTCGTACAGCAAAGCGCAATTTGCTCCTAATTTGATTTTATTTCTATGCGAATTTCCTTTTCTCTTTTATTTTTTGTATTTTTGCAGCACGCGCGAATTTTTTAGCTACAGTTTGAGCAGGACTCCGGACTCGAACTGTGAATGAATGATTGCAATCTTTGCCTGTGTGTATAACTTTCTTTTTCCTTTTTTCTTCTTTTTCTACGTTTTTCGTTCGAGGAAAAAAAGATACGCGTTTCAGTTCCGTTAGAGTCGTCGTTGGCTTCTGCTGCTGCGGCGAGTGCTGCTGCTGCTGGTAGTGCTGCTGCTGCTGCTTCTTCCTATACAGTTGCTTTTGGCGTTTCACACACACGCACATACACATACAAAAAAACAGACAAAAGGAAGAGCGAAAGAGCGAAAAAGCTTTCGCCGCTGCCCTTTACAGCTTCAGCTGTGCGTGTGCGAGTGAGAGCGCGAAGTTTGTTGCGCGCTGCTTAACAAGTTGTTGCCAGACCTGTCGCAGTGACCACATACATGCTTTAGCGTTACCAAACTACAGGATCTGGCAACTCCAGGATTGCAAAGCTTTTCGACTCCCATACACATACACACTCACATTCACGCTGACCTACACGCAAACCCACATATGCATGTGTGTGTATCTATAACAGAGTTGCTCGTTGTTGTTGTTTTTGATGCGGTGTGCAAACTCTCCCTCTCACTTGCTCTCGCACATCCTGCCGGGAAAGCAGACGCGACGCTCGAAAGTAGGCAACGGCAAATGCAGCGACCAATCGCGCAGACGCACAAGCGGCAAATTTGCGCCCTCGCTAACACAAAGACACGCACACACTTTGTGTGTACTTTCACTTTCTTTATATCGGCTCACCCCTCAAGGCTATGCAAAATAATGGCGTGTGTGTCATAAGACAGCAAACACACCTGTTATCACGTTTGGGGGCTCACCTCACTATATTCAATATGAATCAACACACCTCTCTGTGTGTAAGTGTGCATGGGTGTGCGTGTGTTTGTATATTTTTTACGTAGCCATTTTCAGGGTTAATTATGCGACACTTTTTGTGTCCTTGTGACCAATGCATGGGTATGCACTATGTGTGTGTCGTTGTCCGGCTGCTGCACGATAGATGGCGCTTTGTGTTGACCCTTTCATTTATTTATATCTGCATTAGAAATGCTATAATTCTAATGGCTCTCTCTCTCACCTCTGTCTCTCTTTCTCTATCACACACACACGCACGCAGTCACGCTCACTCTCTTTTACTCTCCATTAAGCTCTCTCATTAACTGTTTTTAGCTTTTACAAACATTTTTGTGCGCATTTTCCGGGTTCATTAAACCTAACAAATTTTACAACTCTAACAATTTTGTATATACTCTACTTGCCAAAGACAAGAGGAGTGTATAGGATTTCTTTTGCTTATTTTTTTAGCAAGCAATTTTTTATAATCAAATTAAAAATTTGGTTCAGATAATGCTTATATTTTGTATATTTATATTTCTGTGAATATTTATAGCAAATATCACAAAAATGTAATAGATGTTAAGGCCAATGGGCATATAGGTGAGCTCAGAAGGAGTTCCTAACTTAAAAAATATGCATTAAATTAATATTTGAATATAGATCATCTTTGTAAAAGCAAATATATGCATAAATACTAATATAAGTATATTAAAAAACAATTTTGGATACAACCTTTTTGAAAA